TCCAAGGAGATTTCCTTTAATACCTTTTGAAAATGTTGTTTGCACTGGGCTTTGTAGCATTCTTTAATCCCAGCACTTAAGAGGTAGGTGGAGCTCTTGAGTTCAAGGCCAGTCTGGTCCACACAGTGAGTTCCAAGACAGCCAGGGATACACAGAGAAACTGTTTCAAAAAAAAAAAAAACAAATATTTGTGTGTTGGAAGAATGGAGTGGTTATTCACCACTCTTTCTTGTTGTATTTAGTTTTTAACATTGATGTTTTCCACTTGACAGGCTGGATTGCGGCCCATCTGTGAATTTATGACCTTCAATTTCTCTATGCAAGCCATTGACCAGGTTATAAACTCAGCTGCCAAGACTTACTACATGTCTGCCGGCCTTCAGCCTGTGCCCATAGTATTCAGGGGGCCTAACGGTGCCTCAGCAGGTGTTGCTGCTCAACACTCACAATGCTTCGCTGCATGGTATGGGCACTGCCCAGGTTTAAAAGTGGTCAGCCCCTGGAGTTCCGAGGATGCAAAAGGACTTATTAAATCGGCCATTCGTGATGATAATCCAGGTCAGATAGTAACCCCTGGGTTTCTTTTGAACATTAAAAATGACATGAACTCTCTGCATATAAGGAGCCGTCAAGGGCATCTCGTGCAGTTTAGCTCGTGAGATACAAAGTGCTAATCATTTCTAGACAGTACGGACAGTAAAAATGTGGTTTTTCTTGTCACTCTAAGGGGTTGGTTATTCACTGTATACCCAAACCATTGGTTTAACCTCTTTTGCACAGACTGCATGTGTCAGCAAGTAAACCATCCTGAAGCTTCTAGATGTGATAGAAACCAGGTTTCTTATCGATAAGATGAATGATTTTGTTCTATATGCATTTTGTATGTAGTTTGTTGTTTGAGAGCTTATAATGTCTTGCAGTGGTGGTGCTAGAAAATGAACTGATGTATGGAGTTGCATTTGAACTTTCTGCAGAAGCTCAGTCAAAAGATTTCCTGATTCCAATTGGAAAAGCGAAAATTGAAAGGCAAGGTAAGAACACCTTGGTATATATTAATCATTTTTACTGTAGCCCTATGTTTACATAGGTCAGAAATTACTGCTATGTAGCTTAACTTACAAAGGATAGAATGAATGATCTCAAGTTAGGCTTTTCTGAGTCTGTGTGTAGGTTGTATTTCTTGTCCAAAAATATAGCCTCATTGCCTAGCTTAGTGAAATAAGCTGAAGGGTTGAAAAGACGAGCTGTAGCTGGCTGCAGCAGGCTACATTAGTTCCATTGACGTTGAATCGATTTCCACTTTATTTCAGGGACCCACATCACTGTAGTTGCCCATTCAAGACCAGTGGGCCACTGCCTAGAAGCTGCAACCGTATTGTCCAAGGAGGGAATTGAATGTGAGGTAAATGGACATTCACTTGCCCTCCCCCTCCCCCTTTCTCACTCCACCACCACCCCAAATCAAAAAGTCTCCTTTTAACACCCAAGGCTGAGTCATGCATGGTGATGCATGCCTTTAATCCCAGCCCTCGAGGAGGCAGAGGCAGACAGATCTCTGAGTTTGAGGCCATCTGGTTTATAAAGTGAGTCCAAGACAGGCAAGGCTACATAGAAACACTGTCTTGAAAAATCCAAAGCTGGTGAATTGGCTTAGCAGGTAAAGTTGCTGCCAAGCCCTGATAATCTAAGTTTGATTCGTAAGAGCCACGTGGTAGTTGGAGAGAACCAGCTCTGAACGTTGTCTTCTGAATTCTACATGTATGCCATAGCAAGCTTCTATGTGGTATTGTATGTATGCATGTGCACGCACACACACATATTCTCACACACTCTAGCCAGAAGCTGTGAATGGTGCCTGTAATCCCAATACTTAGGAGTTGGGTAGAATCACGATTCCCAGGCTACCCTCAGCTCTGTCTTGCAGTCTGTCTCTGCATAAAGTCAGAAGTAGAGGCTGTTCACCACAGACTGGTTCGTTTAAGTCCAGTCTTGTTGGGCTGGGAGATGGCTCATTCAGGGCCATTGCACATGTGGCTTGCTGTGCAATCTTGAGGACCTGAGGTTGAATCCCTAGCACTCACATAAAAACAAAACAACAAGCCAGCTATGACAGCATGAGCTTGCTACCCCAGTGCTGGGCACAGAGTGCTAGGAGGATCCCTTGGGAAGAGGCAGAGAGCAATTGGGGAAACCTGAGGTTATCTCTGATTCTTCACATCTGTGCATATACAGTCACACAAGAGCCAGCCTGGAGCTGGACTTCAGAAGTAACTGAGTCTAATCTCTGGTGTAGAACTTACCAAGTCATTCTCTTATGAAATACAGTAATACTTTCTAGGCTATAAAAAGGATAGAAGCTGTATAGGGTATCATGGTGTAGGCTGGTGCACATTAAGCACTTAGTTGCTTATTTTGGTAGGAGGAATATTGAAATCAAGGAGGGTAAGTGACTCCTATAGGTGAGCAAAGCTTTCTGTGTTGGGATACAGGTTTCTGCTTTAATTATAAATTCCCTTTCTCCTTTTGGTAGTTTGAGACAAGGTCTCTCTGTAGCCAACACTATCAAACTTCGGGTCATCCTGCCTCAGCCTCCCAAGTGGTGAGGTTACAGGTTTGTACTACTATATTTTCAGTCTCCATGTTTGTGTACCTATTGATAGGCAGTTTCAGTTTTCGGAGATACAAAGATTAAAACAAAAAAGTGGTGTTTTGGGGTCAAGGCTGTCTGTATTTGTCTCTCAGTTTCTATAAAGCCTATTTCCTGCAATATCTTTAGGTAATAAATCTGCGTTCCATCAGACCAATGGACATTGAAGCTATAGAAGCCAGTGTCATGAAGACAAATCATCTTGTAACTGTGGAAGGAGGCTGGCCACAATTTGGAGTAGGAGCTGAGATTTGTGCCAGTATCATGGAAGGTATTTGAAAGAAACTGGTGGGGCTGGAGAGGTGACTCCAGAGGTTAAGAGCACTGGTTGTTCTTCCAGAGGTCCTGAGTTCAATTTCCAGCAACCACATGGTAGCTCATGACCATTTATAATGGGATCTGATGTTCTGTTTATCTGCATGTGTGCATGCAGATAAAGCTCTCATATACATAAATAAATAAATATATTTAAAGAAACTGGTTCTACAACACGGGCAAACTGTAGTGAACCCTGTGTACTTGAGTGCTGACTGGGAAGAGAGGTAAAACTAGCAGTGACCGAATGTTGTTAGGGCTTTTATCCTTTGGGTGAGTGTTGTAAAAGTCAAGCCAAAAGCAGGCCCTGTAGCTAGATTCATTGCCTTGTTTTCTCTTCCGGAGTCCCCAGTCTGCCTCTCACCTGAGCCCCCTCTTCCCTAGGCCCTGCATTCAATTTCCTTGATGCTCCTGCTGTCCGCGTCACTGGTGCTGATGTCCCAATGCCTTATGCAAAGGTCCTAGAAGACAACTCCATACCTCAGGTCAAAGACATCATATTTGCAATAAAGAAGACTTTGAATATCTAATTTGGACTCTGAATGTCAAGTCACTGAAATTTATTTAAAATACTTGTTGGGACTTCACCTGATACGTCCTGTGAGACTTTACCAGTCATAAAGTTAGCGCTAAAGCAACAGCAGGTGTCTCTGTGAGGTAAGGAGTTTAAATGTGCTTCTGAGTGGAATACTCTCCACTCCCCACCCTAGACGCTATATTTTCTTTGTCTGTTACTATTGTCTAAATCTTTGAATAGCATTAATGTAAAGATTTGCCCTCTTTCACTAGAAGGGGCAAGGTCAAAATGTTGCGGCGTTCTGATGAAAAATATACCCCAAGAAGATAACTTATATGTCTAAAGAGTATATTATCTACATTTGCTGTTAAATTGTTTTGATAAGGAATAAAGGGGATTCCTACCTATGAGTAATTATATTTTTATATCCATGAAAATAATGTATGTGGAAGTCTTGGAGTACTAATAAGAAATTAATGTCAAGACATGGTGGTGCATGCCTTTATTCCCACCACTCAGGAGGCAGAGGCAGGTAAATCTGAGTTTGAGGCCAGCCTGGTTTACAGAGTGAGTTTCAGGACAGCCAGGGCTACATACAGAAACCCTGTCTTGATGTCTTGAAAAACCAAGAAAAGAAAGAAATTGGTGTCAAATGGAAGATAGCTTGACATGGTGTATAAAGCAATTGTAGCTTCTTTAGTTTTTTAGAGAATTTCACTGTATCCTTAGCTGGCCCAAATCCCTATAGACCAGGATTTCACAGATTTGCCTGCCTCTCCCTCCCTAGAGCTGGCATCAGAGGTGTGTGACACCACGCCTGGCCCTAATTGAAGCCTTTTTATTTCCAGGGCCATGTACATGTTAGCCAGGAGCTCTACTACTGAACTATATATATATCCCCACCCTAACTATTTGCTTTTATTCATACTATGCAAAAACTGCAGATCTCAGGCCCAGATTTCCATCAGCAACTAGTCACTAGTGCACACTGCATGTGTCCACAGCTTCAGCCTTTTTTTTTTTTTTTTTAAGGCAGAGTCTTGTGACTCTGTAGTCCAAATTGGCCTCGGACTAATTATGTAGTAGAGGATGATGACCTGGAAATTTTGGCCCTTTTTCCACCTCCCAAGTGCTTATAGACATGTACACTATGCTTAGTTGATGCTGAGCTGCACAGATCCAGGGCTTCCTGAGTGCTAGACCAGCACTCTGCCAGCTGAGTTGTAGTCCTGTCTGTAGACTTGTCAAACCTAATTTTAACAGGGCTCCCTTTCAAATGTAAGGAAAATTTATGCCAGGCACTCCTCCACATTGCCAAAACCAGACATTCTGTCATATATGAGCCTCTTTAGAACTTCATGATTTAAACAAGTTATGCAAGTATACAGACAGTCTCTACATACATAAGAATCATCAGCACTTACAAAGGAGATAGGCAGGCAGGGTAGAGGGAAGGAGTAGAACTTGTGACACTATACTTTGTTCTCATTTGAAATAATACCTAGCAAGGCCACAACATACTTTCTTGACATGATTTGTTTTTAATAAAAAATACAGCTGAACATGTATCACAGATTATATGAAACTATACACGATGACATTCTTTCTGCATAGTAACCAACACTGATGTGTGTATTTGAATTTTAAAATGGATTTTTTATAATCCTTTAAAGTGCAGTTTATTTAAAATGAAAATTTTAAATTTTAAGAAAATCATAAGATAAAGGATTACTAATAACTGAGTAACATCAAAAAGATTCTGAAGTTGGATAAATCAAATCAGAAGTGATTGCTATAGATGCCAGATTTACTTGCAATGCTGGCCCTCCCTCTCTCTACCCAAAGTGGACGTAACTGCTGGGGATTAAGTCCTTTACCTAGCAAGACCTTTATCTGTGGTTAATGTTCTGTTTCAATACAGTATAGCTGAGAACAACTATGAATCCAGAGTGGCTGCTCAGCGCAGTGAGATTCCCACTGAACTTGAGGCTGAGTAACTCTCCTTGTCCTGTATGAGGGAGTGAGAGCTGCTCCTCTGCCTCATAAGGGCACCACCTTGGTTACAGGGTTAGCGTCTGAGAAGGAAGGGTTGCACAAATGGAAACTACCTAAGAAATAATCAAAATATGCTTTAGAGGAATGAGCTAGAGAACACTTCTGATATAGTAGGAGGGGCAGTCACAAAGGCCATTTGCTGCTGTGACAAAATATTGTCATTGCTTTTGTTTTATTGTCATTTTCCTTTAGCTGGTGAAAACAATGATTCCCATATGCCACTGCCCCTAAAGGAAGCCCATTAGAGTCACAAAGGAGCAAAATACTCATTAAGGCAGCAATGCTGGCCCCACTTTATTCTACTTGGAGAGCATTTCCCTCTTGAAAAGCCTCTTCATTGGAGTGTCTGCAGTGCTGGCTGTGCTGGCTCTGCAAGGACTCACCTAGGAAGAGGACTTCAGGGGTAGGAGTGGGACAGAAGAGCTTGCCCTCCCAGTGTAAACAGGAAGCATCAGCCAATCTTAGGAGCACTGTGATCACAAGTTTTGGCTTTCCTCAAAGTTCCCTTCTGGAAATTCTGGATGGAGCTGAGCAAGGCCCCACGGTTCACACCATTCACAGCCTGGGGCAGGAGTGGAGTAGGCATCTCTGTGCCTGAGGTTGATGAGGGACCTGCTGGTGGAGGTGGAGGCGGAGGTGGTGGAGGAGGTGGAGGTAATGCAGAAGACAACCCTGCAGAGAAAAGGGGAGAAGGTCAACGTTCCACTTTTCCACCTACCCTGCATGCTGCTGCTACTCAGGCCAGGGCACAGTGGACACTGGGGAGACTAAATGTTCTCAGAGGGGCAAAGGATCCAGTATTTCAGGGGTCTTCAAACACTGATTACAAAAAGAACTAGAAGCAACAAAGGGGTTCAAAGGTTATTTCCTTCAAGTGACACACATGTGAAAAGAGAATTGAATCAAGTATCGGGTTATGTGAAATCACACAGTGACATCTCTCCCTGGAGTAGCTCTGACTCCTTTTCCAGCTGTATAGCTTAGGTTCAGGTCAGCTCTACCTATTGAGCTCACAGGTGAGACAGATTTCTGCATGCAGAGTTGGGCCAAAGGGATGAACAATCCCTAGCTATTGCTTCAGGCAATATTTAAAGGATGTACCTCGCTAGAATAGGGCAGCAAGCCCCAGGGATCTTCCTGTCATGGTCTTCCCAGCTTTGTGGTTTTACAAGCATGTGCTACTGCTCCTTGCTGTCTGTCTGTCTGTCTATCTATCTATCTACTTACCTACCTGTGTATCTTTAATACTCATTTATTTTGGGTGTTAGGAATACAAATTCAGGTCCTCGTGCTTGCTTGCATGGCAATAGCATTTTATAGACAAGCACTCTTGCAGTACCACACAACTGCAAGCTCACTTGAAAAGCAGGTACTCTTGTAAAAGATCCAGAACGTAGAGCGTTAAGGTTAAATGTTTGGAGAGTAAGCCACTACATGGGAAGTAGAGACAGAACCTGGAAACAAAAGCAGGAGTGACATTTGTTGAGCTGTTACAGAATGATAAGCCACTCGGGATTCTCAACAAGGAGCCAGTGCTAGCTGAGTTACCAAGTCCCTGAGAGTCTTGTTTTGAATAATTTCCTATTGGGCTGCATTAAAATAATATAAAATGCTAATACCTGTCAGCAGGAATTTAGAGAAAAGGGCTCTCCCTTTCTCTAAAAGGGAAATTTTAGAGGATTCTAAATTTTTGGGGAAGTCATTTTTGGGGAAGTCTCTCAAGTACAATTCCTTTTCACTGTAGCCTAATCCAAGAACAGAATGAGTCCACATCAAGTGTGTATGTGTGTATCTGCTAGAGCATCAGGGATCCTGGAGGAAAATTGGGTATCTAAAACATCCCTCTGCTTCTAGGCACCTGTGTATTTGAAATATAATTAATTAATTAAACGCTGTCAAGGTTTAGGAGCCCCTTTACTTGCAGAGCCATCTAGCCAGTCTCCAGATTTCATTTTGTTGTTTTAAACCTGGTAAACTGTTCTCTTCAAAGCAATGTATAGAAACATTCCTACATACTAGATTTTAATGTATGGCAGCTGTGAATGCTGTGGTTCTCTCAGACCCTACTTAGCAGTTGTTAACTCTGTTGTCTAGCCCTCCCTGGGCCACACCAGGAGATACTCTGCTGGGTGGTTCCCACACTGCTATGAACTGCAGGAATAAAGGCAAGACACCTTGTCCACTAACTGTGGATAAAGAATGAATGGCTCAAGGTCACCAATAAAATACTCAAGTAAGTGTGTTCTTCCCACCAAGTGTGACAAGCAGTGGTCAGAATTTGGCCATTCACAAAACCCACTTACCTTCCTTTATATTTTTACCTCAGCCTAAGGCAGCTGAAATGAAAGGATTACACAAATGCACATTCTCATGCTCTGCAATCATGGAATTCTCAAATAATGATAGCAATACAAATAAAGATTAAGTACAGACAAATGGACAAAATGTAATTTACATTGGTTTTAACTCAACAATGAATGAAACTCAAGTATATGTTAGGGTGGATTGTGAAAAGACATTCCCGGCTCTCTGTTATAAAGGATGTAATAAAGCTAAAGTGACTACTGAGGTGAGAAGCCCAGATGGAAGAAGGGCAGAAGTGTTCCTCTTAAGGCATTTGGGTAATGACAGTGGAATGCTGGGGTTGGGGTGGTCTCTTTTGAAGCTTTTGGAACCAAGTCTCTTGACTGACAGCATGCAGTACCAAGGCTGCCAGAGGAGGAAGCTGTGCCCACATGGGGATGAATGGTTGCTCTACACCAGACACTATATTGTAACAGCCAGAGGAGGGCAGTAGAGTGTATTATGATCAGGGTCAGTGTGCACCAGGAACTAGGTTTCCACCTCCGAGCTTTGTGTTCAGACCTGGCTGAAGAGTCATTGCAGGGTTAAGGGTCAGAAGACAGGCTTGGACTGTAGCACCACTGGTGGCCCTGCATCCCAAGACTGGCTGCCCTCTAGCCCAGGGTTCAGGAAGGCTAGAGACAAGCCCGGGGGCTTGAATTCAAGGGTGAGGGTGGTGGTCTTGGCATATCACAGCATGGCTTCACAGAGAACCAACTCTTAACTCTGGCTGGCCTCACAACCTTACATGTGCTACCAGAGTTTGGGAGTTGGAGGTGGTTTCAGTAAATTAATTTTCATTTTCTAAATGAAGGCTAAAATTCAATTAACAACCCCACAAGATGTTGTAGTATCAATATACCATCTAAAGTACCAAGCCCTTATAGCGAACAGAAGAGTGAGCATCCTAATGGCTGCTCACAGGGAGCTGGGCTAGCCTGTGCCTGTGTAACAAACAAGAGGGGGCTATGTGATAAATGGAGCTGCTCATTCCAGTGGGGGAAGAATAAACCCTGATAACCTGCCCACAGGGAGCCGGACCAACCAGTTCCAAAGGGCTTGATGGTCCACGGAACCCATTTTTCCTCATTTAAGTGTGTCAGAATTATAGCAGGCCTTGTTGTATACACTAAGGCAAGGAAGGGTAGAATCCAGCCTCCAGGGGATACTACAAGTTGAGGGGAGGACCTAAGAACTAGAAGGGCAAAACTGTAAGAGGCAGGAACATACTGTTGGAGGATAAGCTCCGTCCATTCATTGTCTTCGGCCATTTTAAGAGTCTGTTAGCTTCTTATAAAGGTTAATGTGTCTAAGATCAAACCATGAGCAACAAGTCAGGAAAGAACAATGGGAAGGGACAGAGAACAAACAAGCTGACAATCTGCCCTGTCTAAAACCTGAAACAACTGACTGATTCATGCACTCTAATTATGTGCCTACACTCTAATTATCCCCAGGCCACAGACAAGAGGAAAAAGCAGACAAATTCCATGTTGGACTGGGGGTTATATGAGGTCACAACTAGGATGGGGCATGCATCTACAGTGACAACCAGGCTAGGCCCGAGTTCTCCTAGCTCATGTTCTCTTAGACAAAAATCCCAACACTAGCTGATCTTTCCCAGAAGCCCCTCTACCATACTCAATAGGAATGTGGCAGTCAGCTGAGGGCCAGAAAGAGGTACACAAAGAAAAATTATGCAGTTTAGATCTTCGGAGGGTTGTTGTGCCAGGCACATCTGTAACACTCTTGTAGAAAGGACATTTGGAGTTACTTATTCTTGAGCCAGGTCTAGTAGTTTCTTCAGTTTTCTGTAGCTCTGGATGGGTAGGTCAACTGGCCACTAGACCATCCCTGACCCAGAAGAGAGAGGAGCCACACAGGGACCCAGCATTGCTCAGCTTTTTGGGCCACCTTTGCCTTGGCCTTAAGCAGATGAGGAGACTTATGACTGAAGAATTCCCAAGCATGTGTCAGAAACAATTTTTTTTCTGTCATTATAAAAGCTAGGAATTTATGCCACTAACCTAACTGTTTAATACTACATCCTCTTCACCAGTAACTAGGAACCAGTATTTCTGCATCATGACTTTGAGAGTAAGTTTCCAAAATTACACTCAGATGCCATTGCGATGCAATTAGAACTCATATTGCCAAACTAAAATTGGAGTGGAAAATGAAGATTTTTTAGAAGGTCATGAAGGAAATGAAATGAATACAAATGAAGTGATTTGGGGGTCTTTTAAAGATGCTGTGTTTCACTGAAATGTACCAACAAAGGAGTGGTCTCTGTTCTGCTTCCAGTTCTGTTCGCAGTGATACAAATGCATTGGGTCCAGTCTCACACACAGAAACACAGCATCTTTAAAGCTGGATAAATCAGCGTAGCTTACTTTACCGAAAATTCACGTTCAAAGTGGTGCATGCTCTACTGAAGACAGCAGAGAGAGAGAGGGAGGGAGAGAGAGAGAGAGAGAGAGAGAGAGAGAGAGAGAGATGGGAGAGACATTATTATTCAGAGTTTAGTGTAATTTAATCAAATAGTAACAGTAGAATGTTAGTCTGAAATGCATACTAAGCATTCTTGCTGCAAAACTAGGGTACACTTAGCCACAAAATGCCTTGGTTTACAAACATGAACCTTTCAGGATACAGCAAATGAACATGCTACTTTCCTGTTTTGTTTTTTGAGACAGTGTTTCTCTGTGTAGCTTTGGGTGGCCTGGAACTCATTCTGTAAACCAGGCAGTCCTTCAATTTACAGAACTCTACCTGCCTCTCCCAAGTGCTGGGATTAAAGGTGTGCATCACTACTCAGCGAGATGCTGTTTTTATTTAGTTATAAGTAAGCACAGGAGGCACTTCAGAAGGGCACAAGTTTTTCTCTCCTGGTGCAGCAAAACAGATGCCAGTAACTCCTTCCATATTTTATCACCATGCTTTATCAAGAGCTGAAAAGGAAAACTGAGTGCTTTAGCAAAGAGTCTGATAATAATTTACTGCTTAAGCTGGCTGTGGTGGCTCACACCTTTAATCCGAGCATTCTGGAGGCAGAGGCAGGCAGATTACTGTGAGTTTGAGGCCAGCGTGGTCTACAGAGCCGAGCTCCAGGGCAGCCAGGGCTACACAGAGAAATCCTGTCTCAAAAAACTAAAAACAAACCCCCAAACAAACAAACAAAACCACTCAGTTCTACAAATGTAAAGAAGAATGAGTACTCCTTTTTAATGTGTATCTCCTGTGACATGTGGCATGAGGTGTGTTTGGATAAATCAGTTTTAAAGCTGCCCATAGAAAGGCCTTTGTGAGTCATGGAACAGTAGAAAAGTATTAGAAACTCACTGAAAAAAAAAATAAAAACAAAACAAAAACCCAGGGCCTCACTAAAGAGTATGAAAGAATGCCACTCCACCAAATACAATTGCCACTGGATCTGGCAAACAGTATTAGTCCCAACAATTTAATGTTGATCTCAAGAAGTCCCAAAGGGAGCAGCCACAGAGAGGGTCCCAGTTGTTAGACAGGGCCCACGCTGGTAAAATCTGTTCAGTTGGAAATGTCTGACACTTCTGCCAAATACTAAAAGCAGCTAAGAACAAGACCATATCTAGTTATCACGATTAAAACGAAAGCTCTCAGAAGTCCTAATGCTCAACACAACCTGCCAGCGCCAACCTGCTCCTGTCCTGCCTGACCTAGCTGCTCCACAAGGTTGACAGCCATGCTTCACACTCGCCCAGAATCCTTGAAAACAAAGTGAGCCTCTACCTCCCACCACACTGCTACCTACAGTTATGTCTTCTAGTGCCTTGCACAGGACAGGCTCAACGGTCAAGATGGTGCTTGCTCATAGTCTAACATTTAATAAAGGTTTTTTGTTTGGTTTTGGTTTTGTTGTTTAGTTTTGGCAGAGTTTCTCTGTAGCCCTGGCTGGCCTAGAACTTACTCTGTAGACTAGGCTGGTCTCCAGCTGAGAGATCTACCTGCCTCTGCCTCCCAAGTGCTAGGATTAAAGGTGTGCACCACCACTGTCTGTCGATAAAAACTTTATTTCAAGGGAACTACCTGAAGAAAATCTTCCCAGGCTTTTAGACCTTTAGAGAATTTTGTCTGCTTGAACCATGTCTGAAAGTTTGGACCTTCTGAGGCACTGGGTATCAGCTGGAGCCTGTCTGCTTCTCCCTGTGTAATCTAGGCTATCCACAGTTTCTGGTGACACACAGGTTATCTCCAAGTATCTTGAATACCTGAGGTGAGCAGACTTGCAGTGCATACCTGGCTTAGCACCTGAAATGCCAGGTTGCTAGGCCAACTCTGAGATTCACTACAAGTAACAGCCAGCAAAGGTCAGAGCATAGTGTTTGGTGTGAATCATTCTGTCAGTAATGTCATCAACAAAATCATTAAAGGAATGAAGGAGTTGTTGATTTGGCTCAGAAGCCTCTGTTGATAGCTACTGGGCTTGAGCTTCAAAATGTGTCCCCCAGTTCACAGATCTGCCCCTGCCTCCCACTGTCCTTACATGAAGCTTTTCCCATACTCCCATACAAAAAATTTCAATTTTTCTCTTATTCTCAAAGTTACCTCATTTTATGTAAAGTTGCTATTACGTGAGATCACTGCTATTTAAAACAAGGGTAAACAGAGGATTCCCCTAAAAAAGTCACTAGACTATGAGTGAAATAAGACATCTAACTAAGAGAACTGGAGATAGCACCCCCAAACCACACCCCATACACGGTGAAACCCTCTGCACGGTAAGCAGAATTCTTCCTATTAATCAGGGCTAGAAGTCTCACAATCTCCTCCATTTCCTCATTATGTACAAATGATAAGAAATTAACATCATGTCATCTGGAAAATGGCTCAAAATAGTCTCAACAGTAGATTTCTAGCAATTTCTGGTCAGCCCAAACTGTTACTCTCCACAAGACAATTCTATTGGAAGTTCCTTGTAAAAATTTACTGAGAAAGTCAGAGACACGATAATCATCTCCATGACCTGGCATTTTGATACATGAAACTGGCCCTGGCCCTAGAACATTGTACAGTAAGCCCACTTAGCCAGTAAGAAACAAGCCAATTGAGCTAAAACTCTTGGATTTGCTCCCCCCCCCCCAGGAGGTTTAGCAAGGGTCATTAAAGGCAGCACTTTAACCTCTTGATGGTTCCTGGGCAATACTATAAGCATTAAAGAACGGTACTGTCAGCTCATAAGCCAACTCTATGAAAGATTCCCCTTCAGAATAGTTGGAACTCTTCTAAGGGCAGCCATGAGCTGAATGCACAAACCAGCTTCTTAGACACATAGAAGGAAAAGCAGATACACTGCCCCTTGATTTTACTAGATTGCAAATGATCAGAAAAAGGTCATAGTTCAAAAAGGTAAAACAGTATTCCACAGAATTGTTTTTGGTTTTTGTTTTCAAGACAGGGTTTCTCTGTGTAGCCTTGACTGTCCTGGACTTGCTTTGTAGACCAGGCTGGCCTCAAACTCACAGAGATCTGCCTTCCTCTGCCTCCCCAAGCACTAAGATTATAGGTGTGCACCACCATGCTAGGCTGAATTGTTTTTGTATGTATTCCCAAAGACAAATTATGTCAGTTTTTTTTTTAACCCTCATAGTATCTGATTTAATTTACATGGTGAAACAAAGGTTAGTGATGACTATCCAGGTAATTATGAGAACAGGATAGAGAACAAAGGTTATCGGGAAATTCGTTGGTATGGTTATTTTACTGTGTGCTAGGCATCTCATCAGATCTCATCAGCTCTACCAAGACAACACACAGCAGGAAAGAATGGAGGAGAAAGCTGTGGTAGCCAGGACAACAGTGTGCTTGTTTTGCCCTAAGGCAAGCTCTGATCCAAGGAGCCTCTTGCAAGACGCTTTTCAGTAAACAGCAAGCTGAGCCAGAGAGGACAAGGGTGTGGAAAGCAGTGCTTCCCCAGAGTGCTGAGCTTGGGAACATAGCCTCCAGATAACAAGTGTTTTACACTTGCATATGTCCCTCTGGAGAAGACAGGTGGGGTCTAACCCCTGAAATGCTTCCGCCAAGGCAAGCCCACCTCCCCTGTTGATGGAGAGGGAGGAAGCATGCCATCTTACATATTACTAACCTGCTGTGGAGGGTGGGGTTGGAGATGACGGGGATGTGAGGGGTGAGCTGGCCCCAGATCCTGCTAAGAAAAAGAGAGAAATCCTCATGGGGACCAAAGGCAGACAGACATTTGAAACTTGACATGAGCAGAAAGTGAACATTGTTCGAGAATCTGTTATTAGCCTAGCATGTGGAACCTGTGGAGCAATATGATGAAGGGCAGAAAACTTAGAAATTAGATCCAGTGGTGACAGGTTTTCATGCAATTGCAGGATGTATTTCCTCCACTGGATTACTAAGGCTTTGCTCATTCATCCATTTGTTTGAGGCAGAGTCTCACTGAGTAGCCTAGACTAGCCTCAGTCTCATGATCTTACAGCTTAAATCTCCAAGACTCTGGAGATCAACTTTGCCAACAGGTACGTTCAGTTTAAGAGGCTCAGCCCCAAGTCTGTGGATTTTATATTTTCTTACATAAAATTCAGTAAACACATTCATTTAGGGTAAAAACCGTAAGCAAAACCCGAAAATCCCTGTAGCTGGAAAATATGTTCCCAGCCCAACAAGGAATTAGGCCCACAGCAGCAGCCCTCAGCGTGGAGGGCTACTTCACCTAGAGCTGCCTGGGCCCCAGCGCTGCCCCAGAGTTGGGGCTGTTGTCTTCCAGCACTGACAAGCCAATACCTCCTCCAAGGTTAGGCCTCCAGCTATCACTCCACTAATGACTCAGAGGATATGTTGACGCCCTATGAACACACTGGGGATGGGTCCTAACTAAACCACACCTTGAATTCTTCACAGTACTTCCTCAACTCTGTACAATAGGAGGGTTGATTAGCTGAAAAGGGAAGAAGCAAAACTCAGCAAGGCTGCTTTCCTACTGTTTGCAGCACTAACAGATCTTAAAGACTGAAAACTCAACTTGTGATTCTAGACTGGCTGGTAATTGATCTACGCATTCCCATCAATAACCGGTACTTGGTTTTCCTAAACTCTTAAGGAATCTTGGGTAAGATATTTTTTTAGACAGGTTTCATGTGTCTTATATTGGCTTTGAACTTGCTACCTAGCTAAAGATAACCCTGAACTCTGTTTTCATAAGTGCTTGGATTACAAGCAAGTGTCACCACACCTATTTTATTGTATAGGGGAATGAAAGCAGGGCCTTGTGCATGCTAGGTGAGCATTCTATTAACTGAGCTACATCCCTAACCCCGTCTTGATTTCTTTGGTATCCCATCTGGCTGCATGTGGATGAGAGCAGGCATAATCTTGGGAAGGGACAAAGAATAGGCTTTCTCTGCTTTACAAAGAACTAGCTGCTTGAACAGACACTAGTGTACAGATGTGCTACTTGGAGACATGCATCTCCTCCTACCAATGACAGTGACTAGTCCCTGTCCTAGAACTATGGAGCAAACAGACTTCCAAATATGAAATAACATGCAGTTAGAGCAGCTTCCAATCCCCAAGCATACTTTGCTCCTCACTGGGACCTCCTCCCCAACGTGCCTAATTCAACCTGAGGATTCTGTGAGAGTGTCATGATTCTCATCCTATTTCTAGTGTTTTAGGACTCACATTTCTGTCTTTCAATTTCCAGCACTAGCCACACGTCCTGCATTCTCCAGCTTCAGAGAGTCTATCCTTCAAGCTACATCTCAATTCACCTGTATCTATTCTCTCGGTATCTACCCTAGGCAAACATCTGAATTGAAAAAAAATTAGGCATGATGTGTGACTGATCCATCCATCCATCCATCCATCCATCCATCCATCCATCCATCCATCTGTCCATCCATCCATCTATCCTCACTATGGTGTCCAGGCTGGTCTCCAATTCATGGCCTCAAACAATCTTGTCTCAGCTCCAAGTAGTTGGGACCACATGCATATACTGCCATGCCCACTTTTAAAGACTTCTGCTTCCACACCTGTCCCTCCTTACTCCAGTGTGAGGAAGAGATGAATGGGCTTCCTCGACTCCTGACACTGATAGTGAGGCTTTCAATGTACATGTACAATGTGTCCCTCTAGCTTCTCAACTACTCCCCTCTTTGCATACTGAGCTCCTCCCTTTCCAGTGGGTCCTTCACCTCCTTAAAGAATAAGCAGCTAACCTTCAATCTTCCCTTTCCAGGCCTCACAAGCCCCCAGGGCTAAAAGTGCCTGGGTTACTGAAACCTCCCTTCTCTACACTGAACTCTATATCACAGACTCATAAACTAGAGGAATCACTCAGTCAGACCCTCAGTCTGTCCAAAGTTGGGCATACATTAGACTCAATGACCGCATGGCCAGAAGAGGGGCAGTTGAGAATGACTATGAGGACGATCAGGACTCTTGAAAGAGTGACTTAAGAGAGGCCCTCTGTACCACACAGGCCTTTCTGGAACAATGCTTCCTGCCACACACAAACACACAGACACACATATAGAGACCCACACACAGACACAAACACATACAGACACATACACAAACACGTACACAGACACATATAGGAACACACAGATACACAAACACAGACACAAACATACACACACATACACCAGAGTCTATTCCTTAATCAACTGAGGGAATACATCCTTCAAACACATGGGTTCTAGAGCAAGATTTAGGCTATTTCCATGTACATAAATGGGCCTGTTTTTCTTCCATGTCAAATGCTCCTGTCTAGCCATCGATGGAGAGGTTGGGGTATGAGTGTTGTCACAATCCTTCACTGGGGACAGAGTTCTCCTAATCTGTTTTCATTACAGCACTGCTCAATCAAATCTCTACACTGCAGAGTCCTGAACTGCACCTCCAATGCTGGGCCCTAAGACAACCTATAACCAGTTAGTTACCCGAGTTGTTGGAGTTGCTGTGCTTCAGTGGCTGTTCTTCACTGTCTTCAACAGCAGATCGTTTTGACTTCTTGAAAAAAATAAAAGAAGGGTGGGTGGTAAGCAAAGAAAAACCACACTTCAGCTGAGAGTTAAAAAAAAAAAAAAAAATCCAGTCATACATTTTAACCAGCTACAGAGAATCGTATATTCAGCTTTATAACCTAAAGAAACCTCAAGCCAAACTGGAAAATAAAACCAAGAATGCTGACTTAAATACCCAATTACTTTATGCCAGGAAACTATATAGTCTGTTATGGTACTTTGTGTGTGTGTGAGTGTGTGAGTGTGTGTGTGTGTGTGTGTGTGTGTGTGTGTGTGTGTGTGTGTAGCCCCAAATCAGTCCTCGGGAAATGCTTATAGCTTTCGAGGGGATACAGCATAAACTGTGTCATTAAGCTTGCACCACTAGCCTTCAAATTTTCTTCACACTGGGACAACAGGCTTACCTTTCGAGCTAAGATCTTCCTCCTTTTCCTTTCTTCTTCAGACCCATGGTGTGACTGAGCCCTCGTTAATCTTCGATGCTGGTGAATCTTTAAGAGACCACAATCCCCCCAAGTGAAAGCAAATTCTACCTGAAGCAGGTTCCTACGTGTTTGACCACATTGAACTGTTAGGATAAACAAGGCCTTTCTTAGTCTGCAGTCAGGTGTGGATCTCTGGGAGAAGGGTCTGCTAAGTGATGATGATCTTTCTCACTTTTCCAATTGCTGCCTGCCACCTATCTTTACAGAAGAATGTGGCCCATGAGCGCTGCCAACCATCTGCCCAGTAAGACCTGATCGTGAAGGACAATCACCCCATTGCGTGTCCGTGCTCACACAACTGAGCAGACTAAGGACTGTGAGATATTCTGCTCTGTGGCTCAGCAGTTAGCCTAAAATCTGGTTGAGAGCAAGTATGCACAAACTGACGTGAACAGTCAGAAGGCAATCACTGTGAATGGGACACTAGATGGCCCAGGGCAGTGAAGTACACTTGGCGGCTTACCTGCTTCTGTTCCTCAGTGAGTCTCTTCTCTATGCATTCTTTGGCAATCCTCAGTGCCTCTTTTAACTTTGTGGGAATCTGAAAGAAGAAGCACAGCTACTGAGCGAAGTGGTTGGAGTTCCCTGAGTCCTGCACACACTCAGCAGCAGCTCTTGTCACATGGGAGGTCCTCTACAAACCAGTAAAGCCAGGCCCTCCATCTATATAAGTTACAATCACCTTGCCAGCACATTTAGGCAACATGTTCATAAAATTAAAACACAAAGACTATGTTTCAAGTGATTCAAGGGGTTCCAGAATTGCCAAAGCCATCTCAAAGAAGAACAAACAAGTCATCAAAATCTATTACATGATCTAAAAAAACCTCATTTCAAAAGCTAATAGACGGGTTGGGGATTTAGCTAAGTGGTAGAGCGCTTGCCTAGCAAGCGCAAGGCCCTGGGTTCGGTCCTCAGCTCTGGAAAAAAAAAAAAAAAAAAAAAAAAAAAAAGCTAATAGACCAGAATGAGAAATTCCAGGAACACACCCTAATGTACAAAGACAAATGGTCTTGGAAGTATTAAAAACACACAATGAGGAAAGAACAACTGCTTCAAAGAGTTTTAGTAAAAATTAAAAATCTACATTAAAAAGCAGTAAAATTAGATCATTATCTTAAGTCATATTTGAAAATTAATTCAACATAGATGCAAGACCTAAATATAATATCTAAAACTGCAAAACTCCTAAAGCACAGGGAAGGTGCGTCATGGCATTGGATTTGTCAATATTTTCTTTTAACTTAAAGAATTAACTTACTTATTCACCTGTCTGTTTTTGTTTGGGGGACAGCATCTCCCTGAACTGTACAGACCAGCTTTGAATGTGCCTGTCATCTCTCTGCTGTAGCTTCCTTGGCTGCTGTGTTTGCCACCACCCATCACCAGGACTGGGTCAATTTCTGTTAAGTAGACATATTACTGTACAGCCCTGGCTCACCTGGCACTTTAATGTAGCCCAATCTGGGCTTGAACTAATGATCCTCTTGCTCAGGGATTAAAGGATTACAGGCACAAACTATCCTACCTAGCTGGAAATGATTTCTTAGATATGGCACCAAAAAACATAGACAATGAATAACATGAACTAGTCAAAATTAAAACTTTGTTCAACAAAGAACACTGCCAACAATGAAATTTTAACTATTTCAATACTTATAAAGACAATATCAGAAGATATAAAGGAACTTCTGCAAATAAACAACAAAAATATGTAACACAATTTCAAAATGGGAAAGGGGCCTTAATAGAAATTTCTTGAAAGAAAATATATAAATGATTAAAAAATCTGCCTTATCAAATGGTGTTTTCATTAGTTAAAAAGATTCAACAATGAATAAACACAAATTAAAACCATACTAAGATATCATATAAAAAATGTAAACTAAATTTGGTATGGTAGCACATAGCACATGCCTTTAATCCCAGCCCTTGAGAAGTCAAAGTAGGAGAATTTGAGTTCCATGCTACCCTGGGCTAGCAAGTTTTGGGCCAGCTTGAGCTACACAGTGAGACCCTGTTGCAAAAAACAAATAAGAATAATAAAGAATTATAAGCTGGGAATGTTGGCTCAGGCCTCTAATCCCAGCATTCGGGAGGCAGAGGCCGACAGGTCTCTGTGAGTATGAGGCCAGCCTGGTCTACAAAGTGAGTCCAGGATAGCCGAGGCTACATAGAGCCTGTCCCCCAAAAAACATAAATAAATAAATAATAAATAAATAAATAGATGGATGAATAATAAATAGATAGATAGATAGATAGATAGATAGATAGATAGATAGATAGATAAAGTGTGAACATCTGGGCTTCAAACAAAGTTCAGTGATTAAGAACACCTACTGTTCTTGTATAGGATCTGGGTTTGGTTCCCAGGCCCCTTATGAAAGCTCATGACCTGTACCTGCAGTTCCAGGGAATCTAATACCCTCTTCTGGCCTCTGCAGGCTCCAGGCATATGTGTAGTGCATAGACATATATGCAGACAAAACACTCTTAGATGTAAAAAAGTAACAAGTCTTGGCCGGAATGTAGAGAAACCGGAACCCTGTGCACTTGTTAGTAGAAATATAAGATGATACAGTCAGCATAGAAACCAATATGGAGATTTCTAAAACAAAAACAAAACAAACAAACAACTGAAAAACAACAGCTGGGAAGGTGGGATGTTTTAATGCCAACCAGGGAAGAGCCAGCCCCAAATATCAAATGGTTACTGACATCCACAGATCAGTGCAAGGCCTGACTCGCTTTTCAGTTCCAAAGCCCATGCATGATCATCCTTCCACACTGCTGCTTCTCTTAAGACTTCCTTCCAGCTTTTTCTTTAGATTCAGATGTTTGGGTTTGTATTCTGTCTTTCAGATTCCATTATTTTGTTGAAATTAGCTTAAATAATAATTATTTTCACAGTTGGGTATGGTAGCGAATGCCTGTAATTCCAGCACTTGGGGAGGCAGAGGCAGGCAATATCTGTGAGTTTGAAACCAGCCTGATCTACAGAATGAGTTCCAGGATAGCCAGGCCTGTCTTGAAAAACTAAACCAAAGGGGCTGGAGAGATGGCTCAGAGGTTAAGAGTACTGTCTCCCAGAGCACCCAATCACCAACCAGCCAACTACAGCTACCCTACCTTTCAGGGCCTTTGCCTTTATACAACCTTTGGAAAGTTCCCAGAATTGCAAACATCACCTACTTGCTGGAACTATCTGCAGGTGGCAAAACCATGTTCCTGCTAGAACATGGGGCAAATCATAGCACCTACTGTGCAGCAGCCTCTTATCCCCACAGCTGGGATTAAAATAAAAACATATTCCCATAACATTTCTCTGTTTTTTTAAAACATTATCACTACATATATCTATATATTCTGCTCAGTTCATATAACCCTATTTGTATGGATGTTTCCATGGCTGGCTGGTCAATTGGTATTGGAGAACCAGTTGGTTTAGTTGTTGTACGCTTTTCTGGGAGAAACTGTTTCCCCTCCTCTCACCGTTTCTTACTTTCCTGTAGTACTTGTCTAGAGCGGAGGCTTGCCTAGCATTTCACCTTTCACATTCGCATGCCCATTGCTGTTTTTCTTCCTCAGGTCATGTTTACACAGCCACATAAGTGTTGGCGAGCCTTTTGTGGATGTAGCTTTTGTTATTCTAGGAGATAAAATCTCATTGGAGTATTCCTGTTTTTCTGGTACTTACAGACTTTTGGCCCCCTCTTTTGCAATGATCTGCAATTATCCCTAAAATTAGGTGAGATACAGGAGCTGTGTTGTAGATGCATCTGTTGGCCCTGTGATCTAGATACTGACTATTACTGAAGACATAGCCAGGTAAATATCTAGGCGTAGTGAAGACATCGTGCACAAAGGAACAACAAGGAGAAATGAGATATTCTGATTAAGAAGATCAAACTTGCCCCAATGAATTCAATCCCCCTAATCAGCAGGAACTAACATATAGATAAATTTGCCCTTTTCCCCTCTATCCCTTTTACTCTCCTATCGAGTGTTAAGGATTTAATAAGGGTGGAGAAGGATGAAAGAGAAAAAAGGGACATACAAAGTAACAAAAATTTAGCTACAGATATAGAAATAGATGAATGATAGACAATAGATAGATTGATTGATAGACTATACACACATATAGACAGAGAGCACTATATAAACAGAGAAAATATATACACATATATATTACAAAGGGAGAACACTATATTATATATAATATATACATGTATTTATATTAATATAGAAAAAAACTTGAAAAATCATCTATATCAATTAGAGAAATTGAAATTAAAACAACTTAAAGATTTTTCCTTCTACCAATCAGAATAGTTAAGATCAAGTTAAAAAAAAACCTGACATGAACTGATTGGCCTGCTCTTTAATCACCTCTCCCTGAGGGGGGAGCAGCCTTACTAGGCCACAGAGGAAGACAATGCAGCCACTCCTGATGAGACCTGATAGACTAGGATCAGAAGGAAAGGGAGGAGGACCTCCCCTATCACTTGACTCGGGGAGGAGCATCGGTGGTGAAGGGAAGGAAAGATGGGATTGGCAGGGGAGGAGGAAGGGAGCTAAGGGGGGGATACAAAGTGAATAAAGTGTAATTAATAAAAAAATTAAATAAAAGAAAATGCTCACACTAAAAAAACAAACAAACAAACAAAAAAAAAGAGTACTGTCTGGTCTTCCTAAAGGTCCTGAGTTCAATTCTCAGCAACTATATGATGACTCACAACTATCTATAATAAAATCTCTTCTGGCATGTGCTAGTATACATGAAGGCAGAACACTGTATACATAATAACTAAATAAATCTTAAAAAAAAAGAAAAACTAAACCAAAGCAAAAAACAAAAACAGCCCCATGCAGTATAAATTATCAAAATATAATTAGTTGTAGGATATTTAGATTGTTTTCCAATTTTGCATATTATGAACCTTTTTATTTTTTAAAATTAATTTTTTAAAAATTAATTTTCAAAGCCAACTTGTGTCACAAACCCCAAAATTAGATAATTTTCTTTACCTTAAACTGTGGCTTTTCCGAAGTTGTTAGTAAGACATCACTGAATAATCTATAAGAAATGAAACAAATACATAAGGCCCTGGATTTAATCTTAGTACCAGGTGTATTCTCAGAACAGGTCAAAGCAGCTTAAGACATCTCAGCCTCAGATCTGTATGGAAAATGTATTTTTCAAAGTGGATCTATTTTTTTTATATGTACATTATTATGTACATATGGCTGTTGGTGTGGAAACAGATGCTACAGTACCATATCCATGGACAAGGGCTTGTTCCTTTTGATCATTAGCTTCCCCAGGATAAAAAATAGTGCCTGGCCTATAACAGACCTTCTCTAAGCTCATAGGAAGAAGGAATGAAGGCCCTGAAGTTGTGATATCTCTTGATTGTACTTTGTCCTTCACCTTATTTGTTGCTGTTACTACTACCTGAATCCCTTGGCTATGCAACAAGCTGCTGCAGACAAAGCAAGGCTAGGGAAACTTCTCAACACAATGAGGAAGCTTGCCCAAGTCCTCCTGGGAGAAGGAATGAAGCTGAGATCCATTCACAGGTTTGTCTGACTTCAGTTACAACACCCTTAGCCTCTCCCTGAAAGAACACGCATAAGGAAGAAGCCATATGGCGGCGGCAGCACCCCCAGCTCTGCTGACAGAAGAGCTTTGGAGTACAAAACGCTTGACACAAGCTTTGGTACACACTAGCACTTTAACAGAAATAAACAAAAGCACAGCAGCCCAAGAACGTACTGCTTCCTGTGGAGGGCAGGCCCACAAGGCCTGTTGGCTGCCAACTACAGGGCCACCTGGTAGCCAAAGCAGGATCAGCAGAGAGAGGGTGCTAGCTCCTGTATTTCCTAAATTAGGAGTTACACACACACACACACACACACACACACACACACACACAAATGCTAATGGTGATGGGACACAGGTGGAAAGGACAACTGGATTTCTAGGACAGCAGATCGACTAAGCAGAGAGGTCACAAGGAAAGGGTCATGGTATCATGCTGTAAGTGACTGATAGCAAGCTGGTCACTTCAACTCTGCAGGGACCATAACTGAATCGTTACCATGGCACTGGGCTCTGGGCACAGTGGTCCAAAGTTCAGCACAGTTATCAAGATTACAACCAATGCATGTGATTGACTTACGGCATCTGTAAGAGCCGGGAGACGGTAGGCATGCCATTTTTACAGGCTTCACAAGACAGCGTAGACTCCAACACGGCCACTTGAAATGAACAGATACACATTTTAGTTCCACAGAACACTCTCGAAGATCTACTTGGTGAGGAAAAGTTTGACATCTCTTTGAAACAACTGTCTACAGGCTGATCAGGACAGTGTCAAACTCTTCACATACAGACAGATGGCATACATGGTGGGGGATGGGAAATGCTGGCATTACCAATGACTCAAAAATGCCTCAGAAACCACACAGTGACGTAAAGCTTAGTATACTCCAAGGATAAACGGAGGAAGGCATCAAGATAGTATTCATACAATTGATCTCTTTAGAGAGAAGCAAACATTACACAGAAGCAAAATTCTGAACTTGATTTTGATGCTTGCTTGCTTTTAATGGAAACCAGGACACAAAGTGCCAGTTGCTGACACCTCATCATCCACACTGTGATGCTATAAACAGGTGGTCAGATTCTCCTACCCACAGGTTACTACTGTTTTAGCTGTTCATACTCAGCAGGAAACCGTTCCAGGGTTTGTTCTCATTCTCTCCCTTTCCTTTCTCCTTCTTTTCTTCCCCACTCCCCCCCACCCCTCTTTGAATTTTCAAGACAGGGTTTCTCTGTATAACAGCCCTGGCTGTCTTGGAACTCACTTTGTAGACCAGGCTGGCCTTGAAGTCACAGAGATCTGCCTACCTCTGCCTCCCCAGTGCTGGAATTAAAGGCGTGCACCACCATGCCTGGCCCAGGTCTGTTGTCTTTAACTGCCCCATTTGACACAGTGAAACTTGATATAGTGATTTGCATATTCCATCACAGTGTCCCAAAAGCTACCTTGGGTTCTCTTTCTTCCAGCCTTGAGCTCTGAGCTGGCCATTAAGACAATGAGTTTGAATCAGTCCTTATGCCTCATCTGTCCTTCGTTCCTCCTTAGTCTCCTTGGGTAAGGCTATAACAGCTCCCTGAGCCCACTTACCTGAGAATCTGGAGGCCTGGCTGGGTAGCCTAGGCCCTTATCTTCCAGGCCTCCAGCCAAGCTCTCAAGTTCCTTCCAGCTCCTACTCCTGTTTGGATGGGACTCAGACACTTGCCTGGCTCCTCAAGTCTGCCTTTCAGTTGTCTGACCCTTACTTTTGCTTCTGATTAAAACCAAAGCTGGCCATAGTTCAGGCTCCTGCTTCTGAATTATAATGCAGTTTATGGAAGTTTCTCAAGAGGCTTCAGAGAGCTAAACAAAGAGGCCATCCAAATGTTCACTGAAGTGTGTTCAGGCTGTGTGGGATGACAACTTCTTCTGGGTCTTTCTTGGGCTTTGGAAAGAGGCTAAGTAGCACTGCTGATTAACAGGTCCCAGCAGATCTCACCCCCAAGCCCTATACTGACCCACAGCCATGGATGGTGCAGGAGGAAAGGAGTCCACAGGTACGGAGTCTGGTGGTCGTCCATAAGTCATCTCATACAGTAAGTGGCCAAAGCAGTGGACATCTACACTTTCCAATGTCTGGGGAAGAAAGAGCAGTGCTATGTTCAGCCTTCAGTCATAGACCCTCACTGCCTCTGCCTAGGTTTCCACTAAGAAACAATGGTCAGGGCAGCCCTATTCCCAATGTAACTCCAAAGACTTTTTCAAAGGCTCACAGGGCATTGTTCTGACTTAAAGCTATAGGTCAATTTCAATCAATCATTCTATTCACTTCCTTGTCCCACCCACCATTTCACCTTTGCCTCTTAGAGACCCAGCAACTCCATGAGAGAAATGGGAGCAAGGTATACTCCAACTGCATTTTTCATTGCTTAATGCACAGCATAATCTCTACGTAAACACAGACTGGTCATGACTGTCACAACTTACATTGATTTTCCTGAACTGTGTGAAGTAGGATCTGTAGAAGGAAGGAAGACCCAATAAGGAATTTTCAAGATCGAGCAGCCGGCAAGTGTTGCCATCCATCATCACATTAGCCGCATGAAGATGGCCATAAGGGAATCCCTTGTCATGGAGAAACTTCAGTACCTTTTAAAAAATTTGTAGAGGTTATTCCCAATTCACTCACATAAAGCATAGGGTAATTCATGTTTTGAATATTTTTGGAGAGAACAAAATGGCTCAGGACAAAAGGTGCTAACTACAGAACCTGAACTGAGTTCATTCCTTGGGGCAGACATGGAGGAAAGAGAGAATCACCTCTCAAAAGCTGTCCTCTGACCTCCATTCCTTGTGCTATGGGATGCACATACTCATGCACAGACCAAAGACACACCCACACATAAATAAGTGTAAAGAGAAAAATGCATTTTAGCTGGGCATGTAGCTTGGTAGCAGTTTTTCAACATGCAGCAGGCCAGGAGTTAACTCCCCAGCAAAATTTAATAGCTTCTAAAATGAAATCCAGCAGGCCACTAAAGAGATTCTAAAAAAAAAAAAAAAAAAAAAAATGCCACCTCCAACCACTTCCTTGGAAAAAGGAGTGATGCAGAATATCTCACAGCTGTGAAACAGGCCACCAAGTTTCCTCTTTTCCCAATGGAGAGAATAAGGTTGGAGGGGGCAGCTCTGGTGCCAAAGCTCTGCTTTGGGAACTTTGTGGTCCCAGCAGGCAGCTCTTTCCTGAGACAGTCCTGTCCCACCTGCATGGATTTATACAGCTATGTAATCAGTGTCTCTGCCAATCACTGAGTAAAGGGGTTGAGAACCTCCCTAGTTCAATATCCATTAGGAGCATGCGTGGTGTTTATTCCTAAAAACACAAAGTAGGTCTCTTGTCTACCCCCAAAGAAGCAAACTTCAGCTTCCATTTAGATAAACAGCGACTCAGTAACAAGTGCATGATATCTCCCCACAATAACCCAGGGATTACAGCAGTGGGAGCGAGGAGGTGCCTAGGCAGCCAGTGAATACAGAAAGACATAGCATATGCTAAGTTATCTTTTCAGTTACTGGCCTTAAACAATCATCCTTTAAGAAAAATCTTGGCTGGGTGTAGTGGCTCGTGCCTTTAATTACAGCCCTTGGGAGGCTGAGGCAATTAGATCTCTGTGAATTCAAGGCCAGCCTGGTCTACAGAGTGAGTTCCAGCACAGCCAAGGCTACACAGAGAAACCCTATCTTGAAAAACAAAAAAACCAACTAACCAACCAAACAAAACAAAACAAGACAAAAAGACAACTTATTCTCTTTAAAATGTGTAATACATAAACTATATTGCTTGAAGTACATGTATGTAAGTTTAGTTAAATGCATATAACATGGAAGAGGGGCTGGGAAGATGGCTCAGTGGATTAAAGTGCCTGCTAGAAGTGCCAAGCAAGAGGCCCTGATTTGGAGCCCATCCCTCCCCCCACCATGGTAGCCTGCATCTTTAACTCCATCTCTGGGATAGGAGGAAGAAACAAGTGGATCCCTGAAGCTTAGTGGTCAGCTATCCTAGCCAATAGGTGAGCTCCAGGTTCAATGAGAAACTCTGTCTCAAAAAATGAGGGGGCACAAGTGACAGGAAGACAGCTGCTGTTGAACACAGCTGTGGCCTCACATGTGTATGCATAGACAAGCATACCCCTACACAACACGTTATATATGTATCTATCTACCTGCCTGCCTATCGAATGAACATGGGACTAGGGTATGCTTTAATCTCCATTGATGGGGTTGTGCAATCCCAGAAGCCCAGAGGAATTATGGAAAGAGGATAACATGGATGAAGCTGACACACTTTTCTCCCTCTCTTTCTCCTCATTTCTCTTCGTGGTGAGAATCACTTTGTGCCTTGCAGTACTAAGAACACACTGTGCTGCTGAGCTATACTAGCCCGAATGGGAGAAGGCCTTCACACCTCTGTAAAGCAAACACATGGGGTCAGGCATGACGGCGCACGTCTTTAACCCCTAGCATGCAGAGGCAGGTAGATCGCTGAGTTCGAGATCAACCTGGGTGTGTGTGTGTGTGCGTGTGCGTGCGTGTGTGTATGCCAACCATCAGTAATGAACATGTTTGTCATCGAAGCCTGATGATCTGAATTCAATCCCTGAAAACCAAGTAAAGGTGGAAAGAGGGAACCTACTTCCCAAAGTTGTCCTCTGATCTTGTTGAGCTTGTCTCACATAGCATGGCTTCCATATCCACTTTCAGACAATAATAATGAAGTTTAAAAAGAAAAAATTTTGGCACAGAAATAAAGATCAGCCAAATAATATAAGAGATGGCATTCACACAGTAAAGTCCTTAAACGTAAAACACCAAAGTTCAATAGTCAAACTTCTGGAATTTTATAGATCTAAATTACTGCCACCTTTATCTCAAATATTTGCTTGTTGGGGCAGAATGCCATCAAGTTATAGATAATAAGACAATGCCTCTGATTTTGGATACTGCTTGAGAACTTCCCCATTTAAAAAACAAAACAAAACAAAAAAACAGTCATGCTAGGGGGCTGAGAAATGGCTCAGCAGTTAAGGTCTTGTTCTTCCAAAAGACTAGAATTCAGCCAGCACCTAATACCCATGTTAGAGAGTTCACAGCCACATGGAACTCCAGCACCAAGGAATCCAACACCCTCCTCCGGCTTCTGTAGAGGACCCCATACATGTGGCAGACATGCACATACAAATTAAACAAATCCTTTTAAAAAAAAATGTAATTCTGGATGAAACATGAGTGCAACTGTGGTGGTTTGAATGGGAATAGCCTCCGTAGACTCATGTGTTTGGCCCATAGTAGTGGCACTATTAGGAAGTGTGGCCCCGTTGAGCCAGGTGTGGCCTTGTTGGAGGAAGTGTGTCATGGCAGAGACAGATTTTGAAGTCTCCTATGCTCAGGCTATGACCAATGTGGAACACAGTCCCCTTCTGCTGCCTTCAGATCAAGATGTAGAACTCTTGGCTCCTCCAGTACCATGTCTACCTGCACTCTGCCATGTTTCCCACCACAATGACAATGGACTAAACCTTTGAAGTGTAAGTCAGCACCAAATGAAATGTTTTCCTTTATAAGAGTTGCCTGGATCACAGTGTCTCTTCACAGCAACAAAAACCTGAACTAAGACAGCAACCTAAACAAAATCAAACACCTCTCACCTCTAATATCTGCCGTCCATATGTTTTTATTTGCTGGAGTTCAAGGCCCTGGATTTTCTTGGGGTTGCAGTACTTCTTTAGGAAGGGGTCCTTTGGTTTTGTCTTTAGAAAAGAACAAAGAACACATAAAGAGGTAGAGAGACAATTTGTACCATGGGGCTTCCTGAAAAAGACTACATGGAGAGTCAGCCGGAGCCCCAGCACACAGGGCGTGGGGTTTGTTGTTGCTGTATTAATGCAACGGTCTGTGGCTGAGGTAAAGAGGCTGATCTGGGCTCTTGCTTCTTGGGTCTCACCCTAGGCAATTTCCCAAGTCTCACCTACTGTTAGGATTCTCCAGCACTGTTTTGTTCAATGCAAAACACAAGCTTTAGAACTCACCATTAGAGTAGCTACCATCTTTGCTCAGAGAGAAAGGAATGCTCTTTAAGAAAACGGTAGTTTTTCCAAATCACTTTTTTTTCCTGTCTGTTTTTGTGATAGAGTCTATGTAATCCAGGATGGACTGAAACTTGCAAGTCTCCTGCCCTAGCCTCCTGAGAACTGGGATTTCCAGCATGTATGACCATGCTATACTTAAACTTTAAAAATTAAAATAAAATCCATGGGGCTTGAGGGGGGAAATGATATAATTATAATTTCAAGGAAAATTATTAAAAAAAACTCACAGAGCCTAACTTCTGAAATTTTACATATCAAGTATCAATAACAGGTTCTAAAGGGATTGAAGAACTTTATAACCATGAACTTGATTTATAAGTAGTACCTTATAGATCAGATCCTTCAAAGTTCCCTTTTCATTAAAGGTTCTAATCAGCAATGCTGAGGATTCATTAGCCGTGGCAAAGGTAACCCGATATATGTAAGGGTGCTGCCAAAACAAAAAAGAAATTCAGGTTGGTTCACATCAGGATCTAGGTCCTTTTAGATTTATATCTAATTATTCAGAATTGAACACCATATTTGTACTTTAGTTTTATATAAATGTGACATTCCCCGAACACTTGCTACTTTCAAGTTATCAGATGATCAACTAGTTCCTCCTCCTTCAGATGGGTGAAGGAGGAAGAGACATGACATAGCAGCTCTCCACAGAAGGCTGTGCTTGACTAAGCCCCTCGTGCGAGGTCTCTGCTGTGTGAGGCTCCTCATGGGACGCCTGGCTTGTCATGTTGCATCCAGAGTTCAGGCACAATCATGGTGACAGAGAGCAGAAGAGCTGCGTGGTAGGGAACCTGACAGAGCATAGCAGTCAGAGAACATTTAAGTGGGAGGGCAGGACAAACACGTCTCTGCTCACAGCTTTGCCACTCACTCTGCACTGCCGCTTGCAGGGCAAGGCAGGGAGCACAACTCCTCAGAAACAAGCATGAGCAGCACGCTTGGCATCTTGGCCCTTTTCGGAAACTAGCCATGAACTGTCCTGACTTTCTTCAGGGATTTGCAGTGTGCCATTCAATGTCTTCCTCAGGTGGGGACCTTAATGTCAGTCAAGCAAGGTGAGGGAGAGACAAATTCTTCAAAGACTTAAAGTCTTCCTATAACCTGGAACTTGGTTACACAGACAAGATGACTAACTGCTCAGGATCTATGTAACTGGGGTGAAGAAACAGCAAAATAGTTATTTTGCTGTCAAAGTTACTCTTCACCAGCTAACTAGAAAAACATGCATTATTTATACTAACAGACAGTCCTAATCCAAGACCTTCCTTGGATTATCACAAGGATACATTCAAAATATGTCTGAGGTGTGGCTTGCCAGTGGGTTAATGTTAATGTCCATTACCTGCTGTCTGTACTCTAGAAGAAGTTGCTTGTGGACTGAGCCACCAAGCTGAATTAATGTGTATTTCTTACATGTACCATGTTGGGGGTTGGGGGCAGAGAACAACTGTCTTTGTTATTTGAGACAAAGTCTCACTATGTAGTCCAGGTAGGCCTTGAACTTGTAACTCTTCTACCTCTGCTTCCCAAATACTGGTACAATTGCATGTGCCACTACCCCACGTGTTCTTGTTTTTGTTACTGCTGTTTTAATATTTTTTTAAAAAGATTTGTTTGTTGGGGCTGGAGAGATGGCTCAGAGGTTAAGAGCACTGGATTCTCTTTCAGAGGTCCTGAGTTCAATTCCCAGCAATCACATGGTGGCTCACAACCATCTATAATGAGATCTGGTGCCCTCTTCTGGTGTATATGTAATAAATAAATAAATAAATAAATAAATAAATAAATAAATAAATAAATAAAATCTTTAAAAAAAAAAAAAAGATTCGCTTGTGTTTTCTTATGAGTATTTTTCCTTACAGCTATTTATGTACACTTTATGTGTACCTGGTACCTGCAGGGGATATCAGAAGAGGGTGACAGATCTACTAAAATTGAAATTATGGACTGTTGTAAACTACCATGTGGGAGTTCAAAAATCAAACTCAGGTACTCTGCAAGAACAAATGCTCCTAACCTCTGAGTCTCTGAGTCATCTCTCTAGCCCCTTCTTTCCTGTTCTTGTTTTTTTTTTTTTTTTTTTTTTTTTTTTTTTTTTTTTTTTTTT